TAGGGACTAGGATTTGAGATATTGGGTTTAGGATCGCTTATAGATGCTGGGTTCCAAAGTTGCAAGAAGCTCAAAATGGCGTTTTTAGGGGCTAGATACACCATTTTGGGCGTCTTGCAACTTTCCAAGCTGGACATTGGGGCCCCAAAGCCCAAATCCTCAGCCCTAAGCCCAAAATCCCGCAGAACTTGTGATCTTCTGAGTTTCACCGAAAACTGTCCTTTGGCAGTCTCTCCTTTAAGCCCACCCGCTTTGGCTTGACCCGGCTGATCTCAAAGTTGCGGTTGGCAAGAATGTTCTCGAAGGTTGTTCGCGTACGCCAGTGGCCGAACTCCACGGAAACGACGGTCTGATTCTCGTCAGAATCATCCAGAACATTGATGCCAGGCTTCTCGTTGTCAGTGTCTCGAGCGGTTTGGCGAAGAGCATCCTTGATGGCATCGAGGTTGCCGACAAGGAAAAGGTAGCACTGGCGGCTTCCACCATGCTGCACTTCCGCTTCTGGGCTTGGCAAGGCGATCAACCCCCGCAAAGCGCCTTCCATGCCCTTGTCCTTCTGGCTGGTGATCTTCTGTCGAGCTGCATCCCCTTCACTGTAAAAGCGCCAAGGACAACGCGGTGTCTGGTCCTCTTCGGCCTCGGCCTCAGCATCGCACGCCTGACATCAAGTGGCTGGCTAATTTTTGTTAAGCTGACTCCTAAACCCTAAACCGTATCCCTAACCTGTAAATTACACCCAAAGCGCTTCAGTATAGCCCCGTGTTCAGAGGACTTGGCATTGTTGCTGGGAAGAATTGTGGGTTCCAACCGAGAAAAAAATCTCTTTCATCCTATCTATGTGTTTGCCTACGTCTTGTTTTGGGCCAGTATTAGGAAGTCAGATCAGGTCTACCTACCCTAAACCCGAATTAAAAACAGCCCTAGACACAGTACCCAGCAACCTTTAATTTCATTGTGTGTCCAGGAGCCAGGGGTCGTATAGAGATGTACGGAAACTTAGGGCAGAACACTTTCCAAGATGACATGGACCCGGCAGTTTACAGGTGGGGAGTCTCCCATAGGCCTTCCATGCCACTCCTATAAGGCTAGGGGGGGTCCATGCAAATTATGGGACTATGGAAACTGGTGAGCTCCAACATATTCAGATCTTAAATAACGCCGAGCCTGCTCTGAGTCATCCACCTCCTTCTGTTGATCGGCCCCACGTGACAGCGCATCACCCTTATTCGCATGAAGTTGCAAGATGCTCAAAAACCACCGTTCAACAATTGGAAATGCCGTTTTGTATGTCTTGCAACTTTGCGACACAAAATATCACAAGATGTTGGCTGGGTATAAGCCTGTACTGAGCTAAGTCAAGTTGCAACAGGCAAGGGTTCAGTTGCCACCCAACAAGAGCCTTCCTTCGTGTAGCTCCAGGGCACAAGCCAACCCCCACAGAATTTGCACTTGTCCACGTTTAAGTCGTCCGGAGTGTACTTGACAAAGCAGGGAAGGCACAGCCAGCCATTAGAAGTCATGGCAGTCGACCCTACCACTACAGGAGAGTGTTCTCAGAGCCAAGACTCCAGACAGCAAGTTCAATAACACTGCTGGCTTTCTTGTCAAGTAGCTTTGGGACTTGACTGAAACAGGCTCAATCAGAGTGCAGGCACCATGTCAGTCCTGCTCGGCTCCGCCAGCCACCGCCGCCAGCGCAGTAGCAGCAGCAGCAAAAGAAGACGTGTTGCAACGCAGTGTTGCAACGCAACTCCAAAACGCACCCTGTGTTTCAAACGCGGAACGCTAACGCACCCAAAACGCGTGATGGGAACTCACTGAGATTACAACC